AAATTGGCTACAAATCAAGATTGGAAACCATCCACTATTCCAATAACTAATAATGTAATACATAAAGAAAATTCTGCAGATAAAATTTTAGAAAATATACAAAAACAAGGAGATAAAATAAGGCAATTAAAGGAAATTAAAACAGATAAAAGTATTATTGATCAAGAAGTAAAAATTCTGATAGATTTGAAAAATAATTATAAAACATTAACTGGTCAAGAATGGAAAGCAATAAATTATGATATATCGCCTAAGAAGAAAAAGAAAGAAGATGCTTCTAAATACGAAAAACGAAAAAATATATCAAATAAAGAAATAAATAAAAATGAAGATATAAAAGATGTAGATATAGGCAAAACAAGATTAGGGTTGGAAGCAAAGAAAGAAGAAAATTTCTTTGAATGGTATTCTCAAATTATTACTAAAAGTGGTATGATTGAATATTACGATGTATCTGGCTGTTATATTCTTCGTCCGTGGAGTTTTGCTATTTGGAAAGCAATAAAAGAATATATTGATAAAGAAATAACACAAATGGGCGTACAAGAATGTTATTTTCCTATTTTTGTTACGAAAACAGTATTGGAGAAAGAAAAAGCACACATAACAGATTTTGCTCCTGAAGTTGCATGGGTGACAAAATGTGGAGAATCGAATTTATCAGAACCAATTGCTATAAGACCAACATCAGAAACTGTAATGTATCCTGCTTATGCCAAATGGTTAAAATCCGATACTGAACTTCCTTTAAAACTTAATCAATGGAATAATGTAGTAGTAAGTAAATATAAATAATTAATTATTACAAGAAAGAAATTTCAATTGTATTTATAATTTATAATTTATATATTATATTATATTATTTATAATTACTATAAAAAAAATTTTTTTATTACAGAGATGGGAATTTAAAGATCCCAAACCTTTCTTGCGTACAAGAGAATTTTTGTGGCAAGAAGGTCATACTGCTTTTGCTACTAAAGCTGAGGCTGATGAAGAAGTTTTGATGATTTTAAATATGTATGCAAGAGTATATGAAGACTTATTAGCAGTACCTGTTATTAAAGGTCGTAAAACTGAAAAGGAGAAATTTGCTGGTGGTGATTATACTACTACAGTTGAAGCTTTTATTTCAACAAGTGGTCGTGCAATACAAGGAGCGACAAGTCATCATCTCGGACAAAATTTCTCTAAAATGTTCAATATTCAAGTAGAAGGCGCCGTAGAAAGTGAAGAAAAAACTTTTGTCTATCAAAATTCATGGGGTCTAACAACTCGAACAATTGGAGTTATGATAATGGTACATAGGCTTTCTATTTGAATATAAAAATTTTGTTTTTAATATAAAAATTTATATAAAAATATTTTTCAATGAAGTAATTGTAATAAATTTATAGATTCATGGAGATGATAAAGGTTTAGTATTACCACCAAATGTAGCTTGTATTCAAGCTATTATAGTACCTTGTGGTATTACAGTTAATACAACACCACAGCAAAGAGAGTTATTATTTTCTGAATGTAATAAATTATTGGATGAATTATCAAAAGATAAATCACTTAGAGTTAAAGCAGATTATCGCAATAATCGTACGCCAGGTTGGAAATTTAATCACTGGGAATTGAAAGGAGTGCCTGTAAGAATCGAATTAGGACCTAAAGATTTAGAAAAAAATCAAGTCACTTTTGTACGCAGAGATAATTTTCAAAGAGTATTTGCAAATAGACCTGAAGTACTTGTTGCTTTACATACATTATTGATTGACATACAAACAAGTATGCTTTCCAAGTAAGTATTATTATTTAAAAACAGGATATAAATATTATTATTATAATTGATATATTGATATAATTGAAATATTATTATTATAATTATTATAATTCTTGCTCTTTTTTAGAGCAAGAAAAAACTTAAATGAACATATTAAACGTGCAGATAATTGGAATGAATTTTGTTCTTATCTAAATGAAAAAAATATATTATTATCCCCATTTTGTGGAGAATCATCTTGTGAAGATAACATTAAAGCTGACAGTGCACAGTAAATATTGTTGAAATTTACTTTAAAAACTTGTATTTTCATTACATGAATTATTATTTTATTTATTTTTTTTTATAGGGAGGATACAGTAGGAGAGCTTGGAGCATTATCAATGGGCGCAAAAAGTCTTTGTATACCATTTGAACAACCATTATTATCTTCTGACAAACAAACATGTATTCACCCTAATTGTCAAAACAAACCGAAATTTTATACACTTTTTGGCCGTAGTTATTAAAATAATTCAATATAAAAAATATAAGGTTAAAACAATAAAAATTCCTTTAAAAAATATGTTTTCTTTATATAATTTTAAAATAACTTTATATTTATTTATATAAATTGATGTTTATTTCCAAATTTAATGTAATAGATTTTATTTTCTAATTTATTTACAATTGTTTTATTTAATCTATTTATTTCATTTATACTTAAATTATATTTAAATTCATGTTAATTAACATGAACAAATTTTAAGAAAAAATGTCTATTATATTACCTAAAACAAAACAAAATACAAAATTATTTTAAAGAATAATAATAAAATATTTATAATATTTATAATAATAAAATATTTTTATATTTATTTAATGTATTTTTTATTGAAAATAAATTATTAATATACTCTTTATATTTTTAATATTTTATAAATTTAATAATTTTATAGAACTTTAATTTACTAATTTTATAAAACTTTATTATAAATTAACCATGCTATTCTGTTCCAATTTATTTTTCCAAATAAATTTTATTTTTTTACAAATTAGAAATTTTCAGAGATAACTTAATTATCCTATGTTGTTCTATGTTAATCTATCTAATAAGTAATTTATAAGAAAAAAATATTTACACTTTATATGTTTAATATATATTATATATATATAATGTATTATATATTATTATAAATAAATTTTTAATAGAATGTTAATTAAAAAAAAAGTTTGCATTTAAAAGAATTTAAATATTAAATATTAAAACTTTACAATATTATTAAAAATCAGAAAAATCTTGTAATTTTTTAACAATATAGAAGAAAGAGGTAAATAAATTAATAATATTTAAAGAATTAATAAAATATTTAATAGAACTTAATATAAATATAATAATTATAAGTAATAGTAATAGTAATATACTATTGTCTAAGTTATAAATAAAATTTAAATTAATATTACTTCCAATATTTATTTCTCATTTCAAATATTAAATATTATAGCTTATCTGTTAAATATATTTTTACAATTGATATTTCTATTTGAGTTATTTTTTAAATTATTTTTACTTATATTATTTTATTAAAATAAAGTCATATTTATCTATATTATAATAAAATAAATCTTATTTTTATAGTTATAGTCAACATAAGATATACATCAAGTTACATAAATTGCAATACAAATATATTAAAAACGAACAGAACGGCAGGTCAAATAAATTTATATTGTAAATATTATTTACTATAAATATTTTCAAAATTAAAATTGAATATAGAATTGAAATGTATTGTAATTTTATCAATATAAATGTACAATATTTTTCATTTATAATTAAAATAAAGTAATATTACAAAAGTAATATACTTGTTATAAATAAATGTAATATATATGAACATATTTTTTAACTTAAACAATATAATATAATATAAATAAGTATTTTTTTAAGATTTAGTTTTAAAATATTTTTATATACATATTTATATTATAAACATTCATAAAAAATATATTATTTTCTTAAATTTTTATTATCTTTTATTATCTATTTTATTATCTTCTTAAAATTTCTTTATTATTACATTTTTCATTTGATTAAATACTAACATGTAAATTTATAAATAAAAAAATTTTTTTTCAGTAACTGTAACTTTAATATTTTTTATAGTTGCGATTTTTTAATTCTAATATGCTACATTTATATTTTATTTAACTATATACATTTATATATAATAGTATAAAATTTTCAAGATTTTTATTTATCTTATGTCTGAAAATTTTTTATATGTTCTGATAAATCAAATCTTTTTCTTATATTATTTGTTTCTTTTAAAAAAGCTTGTTTAATGTACCATTCATTATCTTCTTTTTTATATCTTGAGAACAAATCTGGATTATTATCAACAAAATTTTTTATCTTCTTTAAATCAATACTTACTTTAAACTCTTTTTTATTCATGTTTTCTGATTTGTTCGATTTATTTGCATGATTTTCAAGAAATAATACATGTTGAATTAATTTTGTTGAATTATAAGAATCATTTTCCAAGCCTTTTTCTATTATATTGTGTATTTCATGTGAATTGTCTGTCATATTATCAAAATTTAAATTTGGAATATTTTGTTTTATGTCATTCACTTTTTTATTATAATTATCGTTATAATTTATTGTAGCATCAAAATTATTTTCAATATTATCAATTAAATTAATATTTTCATTATTTAATCCTTCATTATTATTTTCAATTATTTTAAACATAGATTGTGTGATTTTTTCATTTTCATTATTATTTATAAAAACACTTGAATCATTTATATTTAATTCTGTGTTCATTAATAAATCATCTGTTATATTTTTGCAAGAAATTGTCTCTGGATTTAAATTTTCTTTTGTATCATCTTGATAATTTTTAGATTGTTCATTAAATATATATGTATTTTTGTCTTCATAAGCAGATGAAATATTCTGGAAAATATTTCCAAATTTTAAAGTATTATTTTGTCTTTTAAAATATTTTGCTGAACTACAGATTTTCATATCTTCAAAATTTATGATCAAATATATTCTTTTTTATAATACTTACACATTCCATATTAATATTTACAGAAAATTTATTGTATAAGATCATCTGCATAAAAAAAAAATGTAATTTTATAGATATTAAATTCCTAACATGTATTAATAATAATATAAGTTATTAATATATTACATATATATTATATTAATTAAAATATATTCACCTGCAAATTATTTATATTATGTACACGAAATTTAAGATCGCGTAAACGTACATATTCTGGTATTAATCGAGAATAATTATAATCTATGGTTTTATTCTTTCTTGCCAACATGTATCATAAAATTTATTGTTTGATATTCTATAGTTTGCATTGATCCTGTAATTTACAATATTAAAGCAATATTTTGTTAATTAATGCAACTGATATTACTTAATAGAAATTTTATCCATATGAAATTATAAAAATATAAAATTTAATAAAAATTATAAGGATTTAGAAAGAATAATTTATACTTACATTTCGACATTGTTCTGAGATTTCCATTGTTCTAATTTTTGTGATTTTTTAGATTTCAAATGGTCTAAATTTACAGATTTATCAATGTGTTTGATTCTTGTATTATTTGTAAAAATTTTATCTCTCGATTCTCTAGCAGGATTAGTACTTACATCTTCATCACACTGTTAGAATTGCAAATGATACATTGAAAAAAAAAGAGAAATTATAATATAAGCATTTACATGATGTAATATATATTCTTTAAAATTACTTCTCTTTAAAATTAATTTTTAAATTGAAATATACGAAATTAACATAATTATTTTTAAAAAACAAAATAGAATATAATTATAAAAAATTATAAAAAAACAAACAATCTATAAATTATTATTTTTTTATAAATGAATATTTTAAATATAAATTATTATATAAATATTTAGTAATAATAAACATTGAATTTATAAAATATTGTCAGGTTTAGAAAAAGGTATTTATTATACACCTTTTTTTTTTTACAAAAAAAAATACAAAAATACAATTTAAAAAAATATCTTACTTACATTTTTTATATTATTATCGATTTTAATATTTCCAAATTCTTTATTTGCATCATTTATAATACATGTATGAGTATTTTCTTCATTTGTTAAATCAGTTTTATTATGTAATAAATTACTTGATGTATCAATTTTTGGTAAACATTTTGTATTAGATGTACATAGTATATCTTCGTAGACATTACAATTTTTTTTAATTTGAATATGTGATTCTCTATTCTGTATGTTAAATTCATTCATAGAAGTATTATTTTCATTATCATGAATAATTTGTAAATTATTTTTATTAGATGAAACATTTATCAAAGCATTTGTAGAAATGCATGATGATTTTGATGTCTCTCCTATTATACTGTTATTTTTTTTCAATCTTTTAGATTCATTTATATATGAAACTATTGGAGTCATTGTAATTTTGTCACACTTTCTTTTCAAATTTGATTCCAAAATATCATTTTCATGTGATATTGAATTTCTATTTTGTGATATTCGATTTTTGATTTTTTTTTGTTCATCAGATGTTACATTTTCAAATTCTTCAGGTGCCAATGAAACTACATTTGTAATTTTAATATTTGAAACAAAATCAGTATAAATATATTCATTATCATGATTTAATTTTATTTTATCATCTAAAATATTAGATTTTGTCTCATTTTGAAAATTGAATTTACTTAAATTATTTGATTCAATTAAATTTAAATTATTCATTTGAAAATTCTTACTACTATTTTGATTTAAATTATTTTGTAATAATTTTTCTATTTTTGATGGAATAGAATTATATACAATATTATTTTTATTAAATTCAATTTTATCGTCTTTAAATTCAGATACATCATTTTTTTCGTTTTCATTATCCTCAATAACAAATTTATCATTTAATGTAATACATTTATTGGCCTGCAAAATATATATAAATTTATATAAATTTTATTATTTTATATACATTATATATATATTACTTAATTCAAATTTTTAATATTTATGTGATTTATATTTTTATTTAATTGTTTATAAATATTTGCCTCTATAATGTCATTATCAAGTGTAATAATATTATTAGTTTGTTCATTCAACTGTGATTTGGAATGTTGAATTGAAAAATTGATATTGTCTTCATAATTGTGTGATGTTAAGTCTGTTATTGAAGTTGACACATTCGAAAAAATTTCATTACTGCTTGTGGATTGTAAACTATACTGTTCCATATTTGTTAAATTCAACATATTCATGTTTTCGCTGGTTTGTTGTTTATTAATGCTATTGGACATTAAAATATATTTTTATTAGAATGTAATAAATTAAATATAATATATTTAATATTTTATATTTTTTAAATATTAACTTTTGCATTTCTTTATTTGCTTCAAGTTGTTTTAATTTATAAATTCGAGGACCAGGACGTAATTTAATAGTTGACATTTGTAATGTGGAGTTTATAAATGGTGAACTTGATATAAATGGTACAGGTGAATCTTTACCAACAGAAATATCACTGTTTGAATCATCTGTATCAGAAACATTCCTGGTAAATAATATATATATTAATTTTATATTAAATTTACACTATTATTTTAATAATATTTAATACTTGAATTTAATATTTTAATATTTAAATATACTTAAAAAAATTAATACATACTCTAATGTATCTCTTATTGAGCTTGAACTAGAAGTTTCTTTAGATTTTCCTATATATAAAAATATAAAAAAAAATTTAATAAAAGAAAAATTGACTTTCTATAAAAGAAAATTAATTAAAAAATGCTTTGTTCTTTACCTAAAATAGAAATACACTCTGTACATTCCCAAACAGGATTAGACCATTTAAGTTGTCCACAAGCCATATGAATCCCTTGTGAACCACAAGTGCGACAAAGTGTTAATTTCCATTTTCTATCAAATTATAATTATATAAAAAATGAGAAATTAAAAACCAAAATCATATTATAAAAATAAATAAAATATTTCTTTTTTCACTTACGCATTAAAACTCGTATACTTTCTTCCTTTAGGACAAAGACATATAGAAGCATCACATTGATCGTGTCTATATAAAAGTTCTTCAAATGCATTGGGTACAAGTTCCCATGAAGCATCTCTAAAGAAAAAAATGTAAAAGTAATTAAATATTAAATTTAACATTTTATTATAAAATGAACAAGTTTCATTGATTTACTTACTGACTTGGGATAAAAATACCAAATTCTAACATTGCTTTTTGAAATAATTTTTTATCATTACATAAAGGACATTTAAAAAAATATCCAGCACTCATAGCAAGTTGCTAAAACAAATTTTTTTAATAATATACTCAATGTATACTTTTTTATACTTAAAATTCTAAATACTTAATGAATTATTATTTTACTTGTACACATTTCCTATGAAACCATGCATTTTTTTTACAACATGGAGCCCACATTGTATCAACTGTATCATAAGAATCCACTTTTTCATAACATATATAACATACTATTTCATTCATTTTTCTTAATTCACGTTTAACTTGAGTATCTATTTTTTGCTTTGGTCTATGATTTATACAATATGATCTAAAATGTATTGTAATATATTAACTTTTTTTTAAAAAAATCTATAATTAAAAAATTAATATAAATATAATGTACCTAAATTCACCAAAAAATTGATTTAAGGTACCAGCCCTTAACCCACAAGGATAATGAAATATTTTTTTACATTTTACATTATAACATCCCAAAGTGGCACCAGATTTTTTACAGTATGAACATACCTTTGAATTAAAACATTTTAAATAGTTATAAGTTTTTTTCTTTATATATAATTTATTACCAGTCTTTTTCCTCTGCGAATTTCTTTTTGTATATCCGTTTTCAAAAATCCTAAAATACCTTGATCATCCTTTCCTCTCTGTTGCATATTTGATGATAAAAGCTATAAAATATTATATTAAAAAATATTACATATTATAATAATTTTTAATTATAATAATAAAAATATCTAAAATATTTATAAAAATTATATACCAAACAATAATAATGTGTAACAATGTTACCATCTTCATAAAATTTTCCAAATTCCAATTCATTATTTTGTGATGATCTACAGAAGCAGCAAATTTTATGTTTAGATGATTTGTTGTTTTTTGACATGGTATTTGCTACAAAATTTAAAAAAAATTTTTAGAATAAAGAATGTATATAATATAAAGAAATTTAGTATCAAATTATAAATAATATAACTATTCTAAACAACATAAAGAATATTGTACAATTTTAATTTTTAATATAAATTCATGTAATTACATTATATTTGACAAAATAATATGTGTGTATGTAATGATAAATACAATAAATATATGTAAAATATAAATAAATAAATATAAAATCTAAAATAAATATGTTTACATCATGAGAGATGTAATTAAATAAATAAAATATATAGATATAATATACCTCTAAATTAGAAATATTATGTGAATTTTATTTCTTATAACATATTTAAAAAATACTTATAGGCAATGTATACGTCAATCTTAAAATCAAAAAACTCCGCAGAAATAATATTAATACATAATATAATATATGATATAAATAAAACATTTCATTTCAAATAATTAAACATTTTTTTTCATAAATAAGAATATAAGAAAAAATAAGAAATATTTAAATCTCAACAAGTTATTTTTTAATTATAAAATAGTTCACTTTTAAAATAATACTGCGCGGAAGAAACTTATATATAAATTATAAATGCATTCACGAAAAAATGGCTAACAACAGCAGAAAATTGTTCCTTTACTTCTTTCTATCGCTCACTGAAACATGATGGTATATGTTCTTGTTTGTAAATGTAATATTTTTAGTCAATATACATACCTCTTTTTATGAATTTATTGGATCTATCAGAAGTAACCAATCAAATTTGCATTCCTTTATTTAATCAATTTTTCATGGATGTACTACCTCTAGCGATATATGTACTATGTATATTATTAGCACTACCTCTACTTATTCTTGGAAATATTTAAAATTCGAAATAAATATTTTTTTTTATAAGAAATTAAATGATTAAGCAGATTAAACGAATTTTTTTTA